GAATGTGCTCAGGAGGCCGCAGACCCTGGAGGATTCCTTACCTGAGGAGGGCGGCGGTGGTACACATGGCCGATCCACGAGTTGAGTTCCACTGACTTGCAGACCCTGGATTCCTTATCAGAGGATTTCTTCTATCTCCCCGTCGCGCTGGGCGGTCACCATGGATCTGCCCGCCATCACGGGAGAGGAGATGCTGGCGGCTGCCAAGGCCTTCCCCAGGAGGACCGCCCTGGGATGGGACGCCTTCACCCCAGGCTGCTGCTGCTGCTGCTGCTGCTGCTGCTGCTGCTGCTGCTGCTGCTGCTGCTGCTGCTCGGGAACCCGTTCGCGGACCGAGTAGCGGAGGTTCTCACGGCCCGGGAGCGCGACCCCAGACTCTCGAGCCTCTTCACCACGCTGATCGTGTTCCTGGGCAAGCCCGACGGAGGCTGGCGACCCATTGGTCTGATGGCCTTCTGGCTGCGCAGGGGCTACTGCGCAAAGTGGGGGGGCGATCACACTCTGCCTGAGATCTGGGGCTGCAGCTCCGACACCAGCTGCGACAGGGCGGCCTACCTGCACAACCTGTATCTCGGGCTGGCCAGGTCTCGTGGGTTTGAGGGCGCTTCGGTCTACTTCGGCATCAGCAAGTTCTACGAGTGGATCGACCACGAGCTGCTCCTGGAGGCGGCGGAGGCGCACGATTTCTGCCCAGGGCTGGTCAAGGCCCTCTGCGTGGCCTGCTCGGGGCCCAGGAGGGCCACAGCGGACGGCGCCACCAGCGAGGAACTCTGCGCTGCAGGCTCGGTGATTGCTGGCTGTTCTTGCGCGGCCACGATGGCTGATGCTGTACGACTTGCTGCTTCGTGATCGCGCGCTCCTTCCAGTCGGGCGGGTGGTCAACGTGATCGACGATGTGGCTGGGCACGGCATCGCACGAGGCGCATCCTGGTGCGCCAATGCGCCCAGTTCGTTTCAGGGGTGGTGGCCATGCTGAAGGACAAGAGGCTGCCCATCAACTGGGGCAAGACGAAGGTGGTCGCCTCGCCGGCCGACCTGCAGCGGGACCTCCTGGGACAAGCTGGATGGCCGCTGCCTGCGGGGGCCTTCGTGGCAGGCCACAGGGACTTGGGCGGCGACACAACGGCTGACGGGCACCGTCGTGTGACGACGCAGGTGGCCAGGGAGCTGGCGGCGCTTCGCCTGGCGGTGCGCCTGAGCCGCAATTTCGGCCCTGGGCCGGCGGCCAAAGCTTTCCGGGGGTCGGCGTCCGCAGGAGCGCCGCCAGGCCGCACGCGCGCGCTCTGCGTGGCGGCGACCAAGAGTGCTGGTCGCCTGCCGCCAGCAGCCGTGCTGAGCTACGTGCTGCAGTGCTTGCCTCGCGGCTGTAGGCAGGACCCGCTGGTCGTCGCGACGGGCGTGGCGGCCCAAGCCTTCGGCAGCGCGACTTTGGCTCGGCAGGCCTGGCCAACGGCGGTCAAGGCCTGCTTGGAAGGCAGCAGGCGCCTGGAGAGCTGCCAGCGGCCGTGGGCTGCGGTGCGGGACCCCTTCTCATCACTGGTGCTCACCTTGAAGCGCATCGGGTGGCAGCTCGCTGGCGATGGGGCTCTCCTGCGCGGGACGAGCAGGGCTGCGAGTTCGACGCGGGTCGCTTCTCACCTTTCTTCCGGGCGGAGCGGGCCCGCGAGTCGACCGGGGAGGCAGCGGTGTTGGAGGAGGCTCGACCGCGGCCTGAGCCCCTGTGGCCTTAGCGGCTGCCGCTCGCCTGAAGGCCCGCCGGCGAGGTCCTGGGCAGGGCGGTGACAGAGACCGGGTCCAGTCACCACAAGGGCTGCTTGCGCAGGCGTTTCTCCTTGGCGCACTGGCCCCAAGCCAGGCTCGCCTGGCGCGAGGAGGGCATCGGCCCCGCGTGCCTCCTCTGCCTGGCTGGCGTAGGCGCGGTCTTTCGCGGGCGCTTCGAGTGCCCGCGTGGCAGGCCTGGCGCGTGGACAGGCTGCCCCCCCGACCTGCAGCAGGCGGCGGGGGTGGCTCGAGGCATGGGCGCGAAGTTCGGCGAGCTGTTTGCCCGGGGCCTATTCGCGGGTGCATCGGCCCTGGCCCCGGGACCGAGCTGGCAGAGAGACTGGGAAGTGAAGCATATTGGTTGGGGGAGACCTCTGGTGGCTCCAGAGGGCGCGCTGTCTTCAGAGACGGCTCCTGCATGCGCGGTGCCCTCTCCTCCCTGCGCAGCGCGGGCTGAGCCGTCATCGTGACGGCGGCGGACGGGCGCGTTCTTGCCCAAGCATGGGTGGCGGTGCCGCCACTGGAGCTCCCCTCGCAGGCGGCGCGAGCTGGTGAAGACTACGCGGCGGTGGTTGCCTTCGCGGAGATCGTCGGATCCCGCGAGATTCTCTGCGACTGCAAGGGGGCGGTGGACCTCATCCGAGGCATCCAGAGGGCGCAGGGCCCCCCCTCCACGCGTGCCCACCTGTGGGCCCGCGTGGGGGGCGCCGCGGATGGGGCCGCGGCCATGCGCGCCCCTGCCCGCGCTTCCGAGAAGGCGGTCAGGGGTGGGGGATCGCGGCCTTGGAGCGCGACGGCAACCGCATGGCCGACCCGCGGGCCAAGCAGGGGGCCGGCCTCCATGCTGTAGCGGAAGACGGCGTCCTGGTCTTGGGGGGCGCGGTGGCGCGGGCTTGCGACGCGGCGCGCTTCGCCGCGGAGATCGAGGTCCACGTCTCCGACGCGGGGGCCCGCGACTGCCGGCCCGCGGCGGCCTTCGAGGGCCTGGTCATCGAGGTTCCCGTGGAGGTCTACGGCGGGCCCGGCGCGGCGGCAGGGGGCTCCCCGGGCTGGGCGGCGGCGGCGGCAGGGCTGGCAGCGGCCGCCGCTGCGGCGGCCTCCAGCGCGGCCCCCAGCGATGTCGGCCCAGGTGCGGCGGCTAGCGGCGCCAGCAGCTCAGCGGCGCGGAAGCGCCCTGCGGCCTGCGTCCAGCCTGCGTGGCGACGCTGAGGTGGCGGCCAGCGGCGGCGCGGAGGGCCCCGTCGGCGTCGGAGGCCCCGGCCAGTCCGTCTGCGGAGGAGACGTGCGCGAGAGGCAAGCCCAGCGGGGCCATGACCGAGCTGGGTGGGGGTCGCGGGAGGTCCCAGGCTAGCGGCGAAGCTGGGCCCCAGCGAGGTGGGCTGGAGACTCGTGTGCGTCAGTTTCGTGGAGATGGTTCGAGTGCGAGCGGCGAGCCAGCGCCGCTTCCGCCCCGTGCCGAGGGCGAGCCCTGGCAGGTCCATGGGCACCAGCTGATGCAGGGCCAGGTCCCCAGCGGGTCCGAGGCGCCGTCCCTCCTCTGCGCGGCGTGCTTCATGTGCGCCAGGGCGCCCGAGATGGCTTGGAAGGGGCTCCGCGGTGCCCGCAGCGGGGCGGCCTCCAGGCCTCGACAGGGCCAGGGGTCGTGAGCCCGCGCCGGGTCGAACCCGCGGAAGGGGCGATCCCCTGGCACGATGCAGCCATTCGGCGAGCTGCTGCCCCCACGGCTGCCATCGGGGCGCCGTGGGCCGAGAGGCTGGGCGCCGCGGCGCAAGGCGCGGGGGGCGGCGGCGGAGCGGCGGAGCTAGCGGGGATGGCCAGTGCCAGTGTGGAGGCGCAGACCGAGACGCTGCTTCCAGCGGGCGCGGCGGCGGCGCCGTGGGCCCCGCTGGCCGCCGCCCGCGCCGAGCGCGAGAACGTGCTCATCGCGCCGCCCCTGGCGGCCGTCGCTCGCGCGCGCGGGTTCAGCGACCTGGCGCAGGTGCGGGCCAGAGGCCTGGCGGCGCGAGGCGAGCGGGCGGGGGCGGCGGCGGCGGCCCGCGAAGGCGGCTTGGGTCTGGCCCGCAGAGAGAGTTCTCATGCACGCACGCGCCCCTTGGGGTCCTAGGAGAGTTTTAACACATGATCCACCGTGCTGGCGCGTTCTCGCAGGCGCAATGGCAGTCCGAGGGCTGCGGCCCAATGGTGCTCCAGTTTCGGCGCCTTTCGCCGTTGCAGGAGCTGCCCGCGCAGCGTGGCGTGGCGGCATGGGGATACTTGCCGCGCGAGATGCGCGCGAAGGGTTTGCTGCGCATGCCCTCGTTTTTAATTTCCTCTCTCTCTCTCTCCCTCTCTCTCTCTCTCTCCTCTCTCTCTCTCTGAACTCCAGTTGCTTTGCTCATTCGTCATCAATCATCCCCCCACCGCATGCCCTCCCCCTCCCTGGCTTGCTGTGCCGTGTGCCTCCTGGCCTGAGCGCGCCATGTAGGGTCGTGCATCCTTCTGGATGCCCTTTGTGGTCGGTCGCGACTTTACCCCCCAAGTTCGTTCAGTGCTGGCGAACGGCAGGTTCGGTTTGCATTGGACCCAGCGGCGCAAGAAGCGCCGCCGAGGGGGTGTCCAGCGCCGATCCAAGAACTCCGCGCGGACCTCCGACCCGCACACACAGGCCACAACACACACACACACACCACACAATTCACACAGTTCACACACAACACACAACACACAACACACCATCCACACATCACACAACACACAACACAGTACACAGCACACAACACAACACACAACACACAGCACACAACCCACAATCCACACAACGCACAACACACGAACGACACACAATGCACACAACACTCAACACACAACGCTCACAACACGCACACACACAACGCTCACAACACGCACACACACACGCACACGCACACGCACACGCACACGCACACGCACACGCACACGCAGACGCACACACACAACACACACACACACACCACACGCACACAGCGATACCTCTGGCTGCTAAATGACGCCACCCGCCACAGGAAGGGGGACACTGGGCTACGAACTAGCCCGTACGGCGTAGCGGGTTGGTGGCTGCGCCAGGGCGAGCCCATGCAGGAAAAAACGCCCGGGAAAGGGAGGTGGGCGCACGAACCGCACGTGCAGCGTGCAGCGTGCAGCGTGCAGTGATTCGATCCGTTTTCGAGCCGATCCGATCTCGTGATTCGATCCAGCTCAGGCCTGCCCGCCCCCCCCGCCAGGCGGCGCCGCCACCAGATGCGGCGCCGACCCCCGCCCGCGCCGGGTCCACGGGGCGCGAGCTGTCGCGGTCCGCCCGCGCCGCCCGCGGTGCCCGGCGGCTGGCGTGGCCCGTGCCGCCTTCGGGGCAGATCGGCACCGTTCAACCTACAGTCAAGATGCAAAGTATGGATGCGCTGCTTCATCAAGGCTACCCTTGCATCCTTGGTTCTTCCGCCCATCCTGAGCCAGCGTTGAGGTGCAAGGAACTCTAAGTGGCACATGGAACTTCCAAGGCTCTTGCATCCGTACCTTGCGTTCTCACTCAGGATTTACATTGTATCCCCATCACGGGCGGGTCATGTTATCTTAGCTTCAACATCCCACTTCCAGTTGAGGATCGGTCCCTCGACATCCGAAAGAAACAGCACCGACTTGTGTGTATGTATATGTATATGTATGTGTATGTGTATATGTATATGCCTATGTGTATGTATAGGTATATGTTTATGTGTATGTATATTTGTGTGTTTATGAATCTGTACGTGTATCTGTATATATGTATATGTATGTGTATATGTATATTCACACGTATATGTATATGTATACGTATATGTAGATGCATATGTTTCTGTATATGTTTATGGTTATACATGTTTAGATTTATATATGTATACGTGTATATATCAGTGTATATGCATATGTATATGTATATGTCTAGGTCTATGTGTATGCATATGTGTATGCGTATGTATATGTATATGTATACGCATATGTAGATGTGAATGTATATTTTCATGTATATGTATATGTATATGGGTGTTTATATTTATATGTATATGTACATGTCCATGTATATGTATATGTATTTGTATAGGTACATGTATACTTGTATATGTATATGTATATGTATATATATGCATATGTATATGCATATGCATATGTATATGTATATGTAAATGTATGTATACATGTATATGTATATGTATACGTATATGTATATGTATATGTATATGTACATGTACATGTACATGTATATGTACATGTATATGTACACGTATAGGTATAGGTATAGGTATAGGTATTGGGATATGTGTATGCATATGTGTACGCATGTGTTTATGTACGTAGGTATGTACGTACGTACCTACGTGTGCATGTATGTATGTATGCATGCATGTGTTCATGCACATATGTATGTAAGTGTGTATATACACATACATATATATGGTATGATTTGATATGGTATAATATATATATATATAGATTTATGCATGCATGCATGCATGCATGTATGTGTGTGAGTATGCATGTATGTATGTATGTATGTATGTATGTATGTATGCATGCATGCATGCATGCATGCATGCATGCATGCATGCATGCATGCATATGTATGTATGTATGTATGTATGTATGTATGTATGTATGTGTGTGTGTGTATGTATGTATGTATGCATGCATGCATGCATGCATGCATGCATGCATGTATGTATGTATGTATGTATGTATGTGTGTGTGTATGTATACACACACACACACTAGTGTGGGCCCGTTGATTAATCCACGGAGCTGCGTGAGTCGAGATTTGCCGACGCGTGCTTCTGTTTCCGGCGCGCAAATGCCAGCAAGCTGCGGTGTGCGATCGACAACCAACGTGGAATCGATGATTTTCGCCTCTTCAAGCCCTCTTGGGGGTCCTCCTGGGGCTCTTTTCGGGCGCGTGAAGCCCTCTGGGGCTGTCTTGACAGCATCAGGGCCGTCTTGGGGTTCTCATGGGCAGGCTCGGGGCCCTCTTGGCCTGTCTTGGTGGCCTCTTGGGAGCTTGTTGGGCTGTTTTGGGGGCCGCATGGGGGTCTATTGGGCCGTGTTGGGGGCCTCTTGGGCCCCCCTTGGGCCCCTCTGGGACTGTCTTGGGGCTTTCTTGGGCTCCTCTTGGGCCGTCTCGGGGCGATCCTGGAGGCCTGTTGGGCCATCTTGGGGGTCCAGACGGTTGAGAGCGCGAGAATCTCGGAATCCATAGGAAACCCACGGAAAATCTATGATTTCGGCCTCTCGGGCCCCCCGAGAGTGTCCCTTCGGAGCCGTCCTGGGGCGTCTTGGTGGCCTATGGGGCCGTCTTGGGAGCATCGTAGGCCGTCTGAGGGCGGTCTTGGGCCATCTCGGGGCTGTCTTTGGTCGCCTCGGGGCCTCTTTGGGCCGTCTCGGGGCTCTTCTTCGGAGCTCCAATGCCGTTTCGGGGCCCTCCAGGCGCCTTCGGGCTCTCCGGGGGGCTCGGGGAGCGGGGGGCCCACGCAAACCCACAAAGCTCCTTACGGATTTATTTGAATGGGCACACCGCCCCCCCCCCAGCCCCGGGTCCCACACCTCCCCGCGACATCTCGGGAACGCTCTCGGTACCGCTCCCCCGGACAGCCCCAGACCACCCCAGAACAGGCCCAAGATGGGCCCAAGAGCGGGAGCAGGAGGCTTCCAGAGACCTCCGAGAGGCCTCCGGGACCACCAAGAGGCCCCCAACACCCCCCCGATCCCTGAGAGGCCCCAGAAAGACCCCGACGAGGCTCCAGGAACAGCCCAAGAGAGCTGCGAGAGTCGTCCTGAGAGAGCCCAAAGATGGTAAAATCGTTGCTTTCCCTTGGTTTTTCTAATGTTTTTCGCCTTTCACGTTTTCCCGCTTCCAACCCTCGAAGATCGAGGATATTAAAAAAAGGGAATTCACATAAGTTTTTTTTTTTTTTTTTTTTCAAAGTGGGACTTCTACTCGGGGGTCCTACACATCCTCTGACATCTGGCCGGTAGTGCGCCTCCCGGCTTCTTGGGGAGACCCCAAGACGCCGAAGGACAGCCCATGACGACACCAAGAAGCTCCCAGAACGTAAAGAACGGCCCAAGACGCTCCCAAGCAGTCCAAAACACCCTGTGGACGGCTCTCCACGCTCCCAGGAAGCCTCCCAAACCCCCGGGGGTCCAGAAGATCCCACACCTCTGAGGGGCCTGGCTAACAAAACCTGCGAGGCACAAACAAAAAACAGCGTCGAACAGCGCCGAGGAACTTGCAAAAAAAGGAAATCCAACAATTCCTTTTTTGTTGTCAAGTTGGGCCCCCGGTCCACTCTTGCCCAAGAGACCACAATTCAGACCACCCTCACCTTCCAAAAAAGAACCCAGGAAGCCTTTGAGGGCCCCAAATCGTTGAATACCTGCAGGAAATTAATGATTTCTGCGTTTCCGCACTTCCCCTTCTATACGATTCCGAGGCTTGCGGAGGGCCTCCAAGGGAGTCCCTGGGCGCAAGCTGGACCTTGAGCGCGCGCGAAGCGCGCGCGATGGTTCTAGTATGCATATATGTATATAGTAATCGTGTACATAGACATATAACTCGGCATACATATAGACATATACATAGACATACGCAGGCATACACGAACACACACACACACATATATATATACATATGGCCATACATTTATAATACATATATACACAAGAGAGAGAGAGAGAGAGAGAGAGAGAGAGAGCGTGATCCACCGCCGCTTTACTGTGGAAAATTGCCGCCCTTTTCCTCCGGAGCCCGGGGTTCCCCCCCCCCCTCCGAAAATCCCCCCCCCCACTGCTGGACCCCCCCCCCTTCCCCCCTCGCCCAGGCAAAACCCCACCCCTCCCCATACCCTCCCCCCCCCCCTCCCCCCTCGAAAACCGAAGGGGTCATTACCGGTTCGAACCCCTCCCTACCCCCCCTCTCACCGCCAGCAAACGACTCCCAGTCCCTACCACCGCCCTCACCACATCCCCCACTGTTGTTCCCAGCACCACTGTCCTCACCACCACTGTCCCCACTGGTTCCACCACCGCCCCTACTGTCCCCACCAGTGCCACCACCACTGTCGCACTGTCCCCGCTGTCCCCACCACTGTTCCCACCACGGTTCCACTCTCCCAACTTTCTCCACGGCCCCAACCACTGCCCGACTATCCCCACTGTCCCACTGACTCCTCCGCTGACCCACTGAGCTGTCCCACTGTTCCCACCACGGTCCCCACTGTCCCCACCACTGTCCCCACTGTACCTCTGTCCCATTGTCCCACCGCCGTCCTCGCCACCGCCTTCACCACTGTCCCCACCACCATTGTACCCTCCACTGTCCCACTGTTTCCACCTCATTCCCACTGTCCCACACCACTGTCCCCACCACCACCGTCCCCACCACTGTCCACTGTCCCCACTGTTCCCACCATTGTCCTCACCACTGTCCCCACCACTACAGTCCCCACCACTGTCCCACTGTCCCCACCACTGTCCCGCTGTCCCCTCACCACTGTCCCCACCACCACCGTCCCCACCACTGTCCGCACCCCCCCTCGGTTTTCGAGGGGGGTGGGGGGGTTCGAACCGGTAGTGACCCCTCCCCCGGTTTTCGAGCTCGAGGGGGGGGGGGGGTTCGAACCAGTAGTGACCCCCCCCCTCCCTTTTCATGATGAGCTGCAGGGGGGGGGAGGGGTTCCAACCGGTAGTGACCCCCCCCCGGT